TTATATAAAATATTTTAATATATTTAGGTTAGAAAACAAAGGAAGGGACTGCAAAAGGTTTTATACCGGTACGAGAAAGATGTATTACAAGATTTTTTACACTAACGCTAAAATGAGAAACACTTGCTGTCCTTTTTAGAGATCCGTACCCAAAGAGTAAAACGGGACCCTATTACTTAGACTCCGCAGATAATGTATTTCTGTTACCGCTATAAAAAATACAAAAAAACAGAATTAAATAAATTTTTAAGTGGGGCCCCCATACAACACACATGATTTTTCCCCCCCCTTCCATATAGGCAATGGTACGGAACCCTTTGTGTGCGAGTCCAACTCGCACTTGGCCGGGTTTTTTCTTATCAATTTAATTACGCTATCTTTTTTAAATCATTCGAACGAAACGTGTGAATGCGTGCTGTCACTCTGGAAATAGGTACCCTTATGACTGGTGATTTTTAAGGGTATATTAACATACCTATCGTATAAAATATGGTGATCTATATGCAATTTGCCTACTTGAAAATATGAAATATACATCGTGTATGACACTTAAATGTAATAGATCACTATTCGCTCCATACTATGAGTAGCGGTTTCTAAGCAGTGTTAGTTTCTCACCAGTATAAACGATAGTCTCGCATTCGAGTTCCATGAACAATGATAATAATCTAAAAGTCAGAATTGGAATATCTTATATCTGCTTTCAACACGTTTTCGTGGTAAAAGTGGTCGCGACATAACGATAATCTGGAATAGTGCTTCGTAGAATACACGCTCACACAACCAAATCAAATTTAATTAATAGCCTAAATCCGAAATACCAGCACGATTAAGTAATGGTACGATGATACGATGTACAATATACAGCGTGTCGTTACCATCGCGACAATAAATGAACACACATATAGGAGATAACTTTTTAAAGTTGTATTAAACATTTAAATTCTTTAAACATCAATATTTACCGAATTATTAAATTTTCCAAAACAAAGAATTTTAGAACACCCTCACCAATAAAAGCGTAACGTAAAGTTCATTTGTAAAGGTCAAAAAGCATATGAATGGGTTGAATGAATTTAAAAGAGACAAAACATAGTGTTAGAAGGAGAGGCTTGTAATACGACGCTATGGCGCGACTTGTATAGGATGTTACAAATTTTATTTCTTTTTTACCTAATTAGTTTGTTTGAAAAATATTTTTTTTTAATTATGGATTTTATTTAACGTTAATATTTTTTTATGATTATTGGCAAGTAGCGTTAGACGTGTGTTCATTTATTGTCGCGATGGTAACGACACGCTGTATATATATATATAAGTCTCTTAGATATTTTGGCACACACAATTTCAATTCTCTTGCTTATGACCATCATCTTATAGACTTGCGCCTATACAAAGTAACAAACTATTTATTTGGAATGAACGCGTAACAATATTGCCTTAATATATGAGAAGTTCGGTATAGCTAATCTTAAAACTGATAAATTTGTAAGGCAAAACACTCGCTATTATATCTGAAGCCACGTAGCGATAAACCGTGATTCGGAGAAAGAGTTACTTCCATCAATACTTGATGGATTAAATTCTAGTATTAAAATTTTAAAATTATTTCTCATCGAATTAAAATAACACGTAGTTGACAAAAACGTTTTAACAAGTATCCTTATGTGTTTGTTATGTTGTTTGTAATCCATTGGTGCCTTTTAAGTTAGTATACATCATGTATCAGAAAGTAAAAGAAAACTTGGTGTCATCATCATCATCATCATCATTTCAGCCTGTTTGAGTCCACTGCTGAACATAGGCCTCCCCCATAGACTGCCACGAAGTACGATCCTGAGCCACCTGCATCCATCGACTTCCCGCACATTTGCACAGGTCGTCACTCCATCTAGTGGGGGGTCGTCCTACACTGCGATGGCCAGTACGAGGCTGCCACTCGAGAACCTTTCTTCCCCAACGGTTATCGGTTCTACGAGCTATATGGCCAGCCCATTGCCACTTCAGCTTGCTAATCCTCTGAGCTATGTCGGTTACCTTGGTTCTACTGCGGATGTCTTCGTTACGAACTCTATCACGCAGAGAAATACCGAGCATAGCCCGCTCCATAGCTCGCTGAGCGACTTTGAGCTTCCTCATACGGCCAGCAGTGAAGGACCACGTCTCGGTTCCGTAGGTCATCACTGGCAACACACATTGATTGAAGACTTTAGTCTTCAAACATTGAGGTATATTCGACGAGAAGATTTGCCGAAGTTTCCCGAACGCTGCCCATCCGAGTTGGATTCGCCGATTGACCTCTGCGTCGAAGTTGGACTTACCTAGCCAGACTAACTGTCCTAGGTAAACGTACTCGTCAACAACTTCGAGCTCAGTGCTCCCAACGACAACCGGTATAGGCGTGACATGGACATTAGACATGATCTTCGTCTTGTCCATGTTCATCTTAAGGCCCACCCGTTGGGAGACACTGTTGAGGTCATTGAGCAGAGCTGTATTGAAGATGCGTAAGTCTCGCCGCATGCATTTGGAGATCTGCCTATTAAGCCGCCTGTAGTCTGACATGTCAGTTAAAGACTGCAGTCGCATCTCACGTCTTTTTCCCAAGAGGTTAAGAGTGTGATCGGAGAGTTTTTTTGCGTTCTATTTGTGCGGCGGGCCTTATAAAATTTAAGGCCCACGGCATGGACAGTTTCCACGAGCTTAGCGTGAATATCGTCCACAGTGCTGCAATTTTCTAGGCATTGGAAGCGATTATGTAGCTCGAGCCGAAAGCTTTCGGAGTTCTGGATATGGGCACGAGATGGTCGGAGTGTGGACTTCATTAGACGAGATTTTTCCAGCCTGATATTAATATTCAATGTGCCTCTCACCAATCGGTGATCACTGCCGGTCTTCACCCTTGTGATCACAGAGACATCATTGAAGATTTGCCGTTTGTTCGTCATAATGAAGTCTATCTCGTTTTTTACAGAACCATCGGGGCTAATCCAGGTCCACTTTCTGTGGGGCTGCTTTTTGAAGAAAGAGTTCATCATAAAGAGTCCCTCCTTCTCCATAAAGTCAGCCAGCTGCTGCCCCCTTGGGTTCCGTTGCCCTATACCAAAACTTCCTACTCTCAGCTCATCGTCTTTCCTTTTGCCTAGTTTTGCTTTGAAGTCTCCCATTAACACCATGTATTGAGTTTTGGAGAAATGTATGGCTCGTGATATATCCTCATACATTGCCTCCACCTCATCATCGGGATGTGTCGTTGGTGCGTAGACCTGTATGACCTTCAGCGAATACCGTTTGGATATTCTGAGTATAAGGTACGCAACCCTCGACGACACACCCTCGATTTTAACAACGTTGTTAATGAGAGACTTGTGGACGATAAATCCGACACCTTCTTGGGACAGTTGGTCGCCCTCCCGGTGGTAAAACAGGTTGCCGGATTCGAGGATTATCGTGTCCTCCCCCTGTCTTCGGACTTCAGATAATCCTATTATATCCCAGCGCAGCCTGTTCACCTCTTCTTCCAGCTCTGTAATCTTCTCGTCAGTCCTCAATGTTCTTGCGTTGTATGTTGCCAGGTCCAGTCGCCGTCGTTGGTAGCCGAATCCTAGCCGGGGATTCTTAGCACCCCCTGCCCTGCCGTTACCATGACCGCTACCGTAGCCAGGAATAGCAGGGCCGCCGGGGACTGGGGGCCGTACACCTTGGACTTCCATACATGAGGGGTTTTTGCCATGGTTGCCACGCTTGGCGAGCGGGTTGGCAACCGCAGTTCTTCCAGACACCTCGCACCTTCAACGCTGCTGCCCGTTATTGGCCTGGATATTTGGGTCTGGAGAGTTAAGATGGTTATCCCGCCATCTATCGGAGGCCACTGGATGTTTGTGGCTTATCCCTTAGTCGCCTCTTACGACACCCACGGTATGAGATGGGGTGGCTTATTCTTACGCCGACACCACACGGCACTTGGTGTAAATCCTTAAAATTCTGTTCAATTTGATTACCCGGTTTCAAAAAAGAAGCATAAATTTTATCTAGCATAATCACTAGGACGGAATAAACAGCACCTAATAAACTTTATAATTTTTCTTGCGAAATGTTTAATAGCTCGAACACAAAGGATACAGTCAAATAGTACAATAAACATCGATAATCTTTACAACTGAAATAATTAAGATAAGTCAAATAGAGAACATTTCTATGCGGTGTAATATTTTTTAACACATTGTATAATTGACATCAGCGTTAAAATTTTCCACAAGTTCAATTATAAAGTTATGATGTAGATAAATTAAGAAAATTAACTTGTATAAAATATAACTGATTGAAAAAGAAGTTAATTAAAAAGGGCACTGGGATTGAACAAATCATTCTTGGGTCGGTGTTAGGATTAGTTGTTTTGGACACACTTACCACTCATAAAACTTTGCGAATATACTTAGTAATTCTAGAGCATTGTTAAATAAAACGATGTTATTAATTATTGTTGTTAGGTTTTGTTTAGTATTTAGGTTTTGATGGACTAAAACAAGCTGAATTTGTGGTCGTTTTAAAAACATTATAAAATCTTATAAAACAAAGGACATTGTAACATCTTTAGATCTAGAATTAAGTTAAATGCTTTACTTTTGTTGATCAAATCCTAACGGTACCTTTGTTTTATGTGCTGGTGTTTTGAGCAGACCTTATAACATTTTGATTTAAATGTAACAAAATATGAAATATGTTCAGGCCGATTTAGCAATTATGAAATAGATATGATAATAGCAACTTTGTATACTAAATCTTATGAATATGATAGATTCTTTTAGGATAAATCCTGCTATCCTACCATTAATACGATATTGTTCACTTCAATCACCGATCGAATATGGTGGTGCTTCCATCTCACCAAGCCTTATACTATTATTTTCTCATAATCAGCAGAAATCTAGCTTACTGTTCCTGGTCGACGGTGGAGAATTTGCAACTGATTTTGGTTTCATCGAAATTTGTATAGATCAAGGTAAACTTACATAGCCATCAAAAGTTCCGGATCCCGTCAGAGTGACATTCAATACGTGCCACCCACTTTCAAATGGTGAATTCATCGCTGAGATTCCCGTGTTACCGACGGAGGCATTTATGCCACCCGGCACCACTTCGTGGACGAAGATTGACACCTGATCGCTCTGCGATATCGGGGCCATGTACAAATTCACTTCAACAATACCACCAGCGGTCACCGGAAAGGTGAACGAAGACACGCAACTCATGATGAAGTCTGGAGCGATAAACTTTGTACTGCGGGCGTCTGGACTCTCCACGGGTATTTCGGAGTACCTCCCCAAATTCCACCACCTCATTCCGTTGCATAAGCCGATCTCGTTCGAGAACAAATTCTCAAAATCATCCTCAAAGGAATACGTAACGCAGTCTTCACTAAACACCGTTGTGCACAAAACCGACAGTAGTATTAATCCTTTTAGTTCCATCTTTTGCTCGTAAATCTCTCATGTACGCTTGCTATTTGTAATGAATAACACTAAATTTAATACAAATCAATTTGATTATTATATAAATACTACGAAATATCATTTAAGGATAAGATAAAGTGTAGATAATGTGCAAATGTAAGGTGACTTACAGTGGCCGAATGTTCGTTTACTTATGAATGGGAATAATATTTTCTGTGAAAAAGTTCTTGTCTGATTTCACTCCGATAAGATATTGTTTTCTTGAACTTTCACTATGCTTTTAGCTTTTAGCTTATATTTTAATATTCTTTTCTGGCTATTATTCAAAAATTAAGTTGTTAACAATAGTACATAATGTCGAATCAATCCCTCTGTTTTAACCAGTAGTTGGTTTAATCATTCAAGTTAATTGGTGGGATCAGACACCAAATTCTTCAAGGGCTATCGTGTAACAGGAGGACGATACCAACCGTCCTTATTCATGCACAATAAAAATATTTGTGCTGAATGAAACTGCCCAGGATCTTTCTATGGAGGAAGTCTTTGTTCAGTAATATGAATCTATACTCACATAAGCAAGGCGAAATCATTAATTTCTATTTTCAAATTATGTTCTTAATTAGTAAATTCAGATATTTTTAAACTAGTCACGAGAATGAAGAAATGTTATTTATTAATTTAATTTATTTATAACTTAAAATCTTTATGCAGAAATGTTTTTATATTTAGAAGATTACAAAATATTCAATAAAAACTATGTGCTACGTAACGAAAATCAGAATATTTTGTTGAATATAAGGTGTATTATTTGTAAATTTATATTTACAAATAATACACCTTATATTCAATAATAAAATATTAATTTTAAAGTTTTTATAGTGCTAATCTCTGCACTTAAGATTGAACATTAAAACATGTAGAAAAAGTACGAAAAGATTGTCGCCGCTGTGGGAATCGAACCTACGTCTTCGGCATTCGCGGCCTGACGCTCTAGCCACTGAGCTAAACGGCTGATAGCCACAGCGACGAAAATCTTAACGCCTTCTTTCTACATTGATATTTAGCATTTGAAGCAATGCTTGGCGCATCTATTGTTATATCCTTTCCAGCATACAAACAATTTCGAATATCGTTTTACAACGATAATTCGAACGAGAGATGTCGCCATTGCTTTTATAAATTTTAAAGTTTTTATAGTGCTAATCTCTGCACTTAAGATTGAACATTAAAACATGTAGAAAAAGTACGAAAAGATTGTCGCCGCTGTGGGAATCGAACCTACGTCTTCGGCATTCGCGGCCTGACGCTCTAGCCACTGAGCTAAACGGCTGATAGCCACAGCGACGAAAATCTTAACGCCTTCTTTCTACATTGATATTTAGCATTTGAAGCAATGCTTGGCGCATCTATTGTTATATCCTTTCCAGCATACAAACAATTTCGAATATCGTTTTACAACGATAATTCGAACGAGAGATGTCGCCATTGCTTTTATAAATTTTAAAGTTTTTATAGTGCTAATCTCTGCACTTAAGATTGAACATTAAAACATGTAGAAAAAGTACGAAAAGATTGTCGCCGCTGTGGGAATCGAACCTACGTCTTCGGCATTCGCGGCCTGACGCTCTAGCCACTGAGCTAAACGGCTGATAGCCACAGCGACGAAAATCTTAACGCCTTCTTTCTACATTGATATTTAGCATTTGAAGCAATGCTTGGCGCATCTATTGTTATAGTGGCTAGAGCGTCAGGCCGCGAATGCCGAAGACGTAGGTTCGATTCCCACAGCGGCGACAATCTTTTCGTACTTTTTCTACATGTTTTAATGTTCAATCTTAAGTGCAGAGATTAGCACTATAAAAACTTTAAAATTTATAAAAGCAATGGCGACATCTCTCGTTCGAATTATCGTTGTAAAACGATATTCGAAATTGTTTGTATGCTGGAAAGGATATAACAATAGATGCGCCAAGCATTGCTTCAAATGCTAAATATCAATGTAGAAAGAAGGCGTTAAGATTTTCGTCGCTGTGGCTATCAGCCGTTTAGCTCAGTGGCTAGAGCGTCAGGCCGCGAATGCCGAAGACGTAGGTTCGATTCCCACAGCGGCGACAATCTTTTCGTACTTTTTCTACATGTTTTAATGTTCAATCTTAAGTGCAGAGATTAGCACTATAAAAACTTTAAAATTTATAAAAGCAATGGCGACATCTCTCGTTCGAATTATCGTTGTAAAACGATATTCGAAATTGTTTGTATGCTGGAAAGGATATAACAATAGATGCGCCAAGCATTGCTTCAAATGCTAAATATCAATGTAGAAAGAAGGCGTTAAGATTTTCGTCGCTGTGGCTATCAGCCGTTTAGCTCAGTGGCTAGAGCGTCAGGCCGCGAATGCCGAAGACGTAGGTTCGATTCCCACAGCGGCGACAATCTTTTCGTACTTTTTCTACATGTTTTAATGTTCAATCTTAAGTGCAGAGATTAGCACTATAAAAACTTTAAAATTTATAAAAGCAATGGCGACATCTCTCGTTCGAATTATCGTTGTAAAACGATATTCGAAATTGTTTGTATGCTGGAAAGGATATAACAATAGATGCGCCAAGCATTGCTTCAAATGCTAAATATCAATGTAGAAAGAAGGCGTTAAGATTTTCGTCGCTGTGGCTATCAGCCGTTTAGCTCAGTGGCTAGAGCGTCAGGCCGCGAATGCCGAAGACGTAGGTTCGATTCCCACAGCGGCGACAATCTTTTCGTACTTTTTCTACATGTTTTAAATGTTCAATCTTAAGTGCAGAGATTAGCACTATAAAAACTTTAAAATTTATAAAAGCAATGGCGACATCTCTCGTTCGAATTATCGTTGTAAAACGATATTCGAAATTGTTTGTATGCTGGAAAGGATATAACAATAGATGCGCCAAGCATTGCTTCAAATGCTAAATATCAATGTAGAAAGAAGGCGTTAAGATTTTCGTCGCTGTGGCTATCAGCCGTTTAGCTCAGTGGCTAGAGCGTCAGGCCGCGAATGCCGAAGACGTAGGTTCGATTCCCACAGCGGCGACAATCTTTTCGTACTTTTTCTACATGTTTTAATAAAATATTAGTTCCACAAAGCATTTAAGTAATTGCATTTGTAACGCAATCGGCATTCGCGTTTATCTTGAGGATTAATGGTTCTTATTAGATTCTTATCAAATATTGCTCTTTTACAAAATAAATTTGGATTTCCTATTAATATATTACTGACTAATGTATGCAATAGGAGAGAAGTTTAAACCCGCTCTTGCAAAAAAGGGTGTCTTCGTGAAGATACCTAAGTCTAATATCACCAAAATTCGCTGGCCGAAATTGATTCCATGGCCTTTGATGAATCAATACCATCACCCATTGACATACGCAACTTTCTTCTTTCTTTTGCCTCTTAAAGAGTCGTTGTGTGGTAGTGTGGATACGTTACAAACCCATTTCACTCTTGCAAAGTTGACTAGAACAAAAAGGTTTTAAGGCTCTGTTCCTAGTAGAAATATTTTATATTTGAAAACTGGTCTTTTGTCAGGCCGTTGTACTTCCTCGGTCAATCACGCTCAGTGGTATACCACGGTAAATTTATCAGTAGGAAATTTCTCGAAAACGATGAGGGCGTGTGCGGAGAGGCAGTACGGTGGTCGAAAAAAGTTTTTACAAGCATTAAGCAGTGTATTTGTATTTTTTATAAAGAGTTCCATATAAGATGCATGTAAGCAAGCTGTGAATGAATTTAATAAATAAATTTGTAAAATCGAAACTTCTGTTTATGATTTCGAAATAAACACAAAAATATAATAAATTCTAAATAAAATATACTCTTTATACCACCACATACTGGCCTACATGTCGAATATCAACTTAAAACCAGTATTTGACTCCTTTGATTCAACGGCAGCTAATTATTTCGAAAATGGTTACTGTTCCGAGAAGTAAAAGAATAATAACCAAATAATTAAATATCAAGTATAATACACCAGATATATAAATAAAGATAACAAACTTTAGAGAGAAATAAAACAAAATCTTATGATAAGGAACAGGTGTAAAAGCAGAAAAAAAAATCATGAGCGACAATTCGCGATATCGCTTTCTCGTACGTACGTATTCTCAAACGTTTTTTTTATGTGAAAGGTTAACAAGTGAGCAGGCGGTTCACCTGATGTTAAGTGATTACAGCCACATCCACAACCTCTGAGAGATTGTAAAGGCGTTGCAATCTTTCTAGAAAGAGGGGATCCGGCTACTTTCCTCACTACTATACTATACTACTTTTATTTTTGCCGGTCCTGTGTGTCGAGTCTGCCCATTCTTGAAACATCAGAATTTGTGCGTAGCCCTAAAACTAAGCAACAGTAAAAGTATTTAAGAAACTAATAGTTAACCATCTATAAGCGTAGAGGTCATGGAGAAATGTATGGTTACAGGTTAATTATTGTAATTCTATCGTCACTATCTAAAATTTTGGAACACTTATTAATCTTCGCCTTCTTAATTTCTTCGAACATCAAAAAATAATTACAGAGTACCAATCGACAAGTGATACTACGCGTGCTTTTATCGATTGCGTAGTGGAAATTTTAGACGATACTGAACAAAGAATTGGTCTCTTTCTGGATTTAGGTAAACGCTTTCGATACTGTAAACTAGTGTAAACTATATAAGATAGGTATTCGTCTTCCACAGCGCAAAATATATCAATTGGAAAATATCATTGTGTAAGTGTTGTAGGATAGTGATGATTTGCTTGTTTTTCATAGGGTTTCTCAAGGCAGTGTTCTAGGTTGGACCCTATTTCTTATTTATCTTAATGAAATCTGTTGATTACATGAAACCTCAAAGTACTGTGTCTAATTTTGGCGACACGGTGTTATAATTTGCTTGTAACTCTGGTGAGACCTCATAATGTAGCACAAAAGGGCTTCGATACGGTGCACGTTTGACTTCGTAATAACTTCGTGACATGTAATGATGAAAAGAAAAAAAGG